GGGGGGCAGTTCGTGAAGAACTGCAGCCCGTGGGAAGGACTCACGTTGGAGAAGCTGGTGGAGGACGGTCTGCCCTGGGAGGGACTCCACGCTGGAGCAGGGGAAGAGTGTGAGGAGTCCTCCCCTGAGGAGGAAGGAGCAGCAGAGACAATGTGTGATGAACTGACCACAACCCCCCTTCCCCGACCCTCTGCTGCTGCTCAGGGGGAGGATGTAAAGAGAATGGGGAGCAAAGTTAAGCCCAGGAAGAAGGGAGGGGTGGGGGGGAAGGTGTTTTAATATTTGGTTTTATTTCTCATTACCCTACTCTGATTTTGATTGGTAATAAATTAAACTAATTTCCCCAAGTCAAGTCTGTTTTGCCCGTGATGGTAATTGGTGAGTGATCTCTGCCTGCCCCTATCTTGACCCACGAGCCTTTTGTTATATTTTCTCTCCCCTGTCCAGCTGAGGAGGGGAAGTGATAGAGCGGCTTTGGTGGGCACCTGGCATCCAGCCAGGGTCAACCCACCACATGCACCCAGGGAAATACCAAGGGAGAGTACAGGACAGATAACGCCTGCTAAAACTAGGGGAGAGTTTCCCTGGTTTTGCTTTATCCTAAAGGCAGCGTCACTCCTGCATAGCTCTGTTTGATAGCTGGTGAGGAAATAACAAGAGAATTTGCCAGGGCTTCATGCTATCTGTTAGTAGTAGATAAAGCAGAAACATTTTCTGAGTGCAGGAATCCTTTATCATCTGACCTAGTGTGCTGCTTACCATGTGTGTAAAGAGAAGCTTGTGTGTCCAGAGCTGTGGTACAGCGACACAGAGACAAAAATGATGTGGCACAGAATGGAAACCACTGGAGTTGTACGCTTACCTGTTCCATACACACACAGTCATTTAGGTCTTTAGGGGGTCACTTGGGAACATAGTGCTTCATTCCTACTTGCTCTGTTATGTAGAAAGCAAAACACAATGTAATTCAATATTGTCAGCTCCAATCTGGATCTATGGCAACGACCACGAAAATAGACAAGTCTTATTCTGCTCTGATTTCTAAGATCCCTGTCGACATTTGCAATGCGATGTTTTGGAACAAAATTACTGAGAAGAAAAACTGAAAATTCTGCTCATATTACATTTTTTTCCCCCCAGTACTTGAAATACTTGATTGAATACTATTAATGTTGTTATAAGAATTCGGCAATCATAGATATTCCAAAAAAGGTTTCTGTAACCCTGAGGTCAGAATTTTAAATTTTGCAAGGTTATGTGGCTGCATCTAGTGGCAGCACAGCTAAACTGCAGCACTGTTTACTGCAACTGATACATGCGCACAGATACATGGACATATATATACACATACATTTCTGTCTGCACGTATACATATATCTGTAAAAATAAAGCTCTTTAGCATGTTGTCACACATAGCTGCAATTGTTCATTCTGAATTAATTCTTATTGTTTAAAAAATGGAGAGATTTATTTACAGCAAATAGTCTCAGTAACAGGAACATAGTGACATTTCTCTTCTGGGACTGCTTGGAGGAACAGAAATCATTTAATATGATTTGCTCCTAGTTGCTAAATCTACCAGGCAGTGAACTGAGCTGTTTTGAAGTAGTTCAGTAATACACATAGAGCATGTAAATGTAAAGCTAATGCAAAAAATAAGCAGACTGAGCAAGAATTAAAATCAATTTCAAATGATTGCTTATAATCCTTTATCTGAATTGATCAAAGTATCTGCGTTTTCTGAAAGGGAGGAAGGGATATGGGTTTTCTTGGTGAGAGAGATGAATGGATTCTCTATTTAGCAGAACTTTCAAGCTAAGAAAGACCTAGAGACATTTTCTTTCTAATATAGTTGTTCACCTTAGTCTTTTGTAGTAGTGTCATCGGGCACCCTGGTTTGGTTAATTAACAAAAGCAAGGCAAAAGGGGTTGAAGGTAGCATTCAAGTGGCTTTTTATGGTGTGTTTTTTAAATTAAAATTGCCATGGAAGTCTGCTAACTTTTTTTCCTTTTTAATCTCTTTCTGGGGCAAAACTATTTGCCCAATTTCTCCAGAGGCTGAAGCGGGCTTTCAAACCAGTAAACTCAGGCAATGAGAAGTGGACCAGATGAGTAAGGTACAGTGACTAATTTGCTATTTTATTACTTTCTTTTTCATTGGTGGCCTTTTCCCTTTTTAGTGAAGTAGTGAGGTTTAAATATGAGAGACCATCACAGACAACTATAGGTGTTTTTTTACTACTGACCCATAGGTTTATGTAGACATCATAGCTATATAATATATATACATACACATATAATTGATTCATATAGCTAATTTATATAGCTATGGTAGTTTGAGAGGCTAAAGATTACACGATAGTTTTCATTAAATGTTTTAGTTTGATCCTTACTGAGACAAGGCAACTGTAACTAAGCTGGCATACAGTGAATTCCAAGGTTTGCATATGCAGTGGATTTCTGAACTGAACTGTGCTGTGATTTTTTTTCCTGTGCCCTGTATACAGGGAGCTTGAGTGTGACACCTTTAGAATGAGTAAGCCAAGCTCTCTACGGTCCTAATTATTTTATCCCACTACTAAGCTGCAGATCTGACTGCGCTTAGCTTTTTGCGGGATGGAGGCCTAAAACAGGCTAAGAGGTCTGAAGGAAGCCTAAACCTAGTTAGGGGTACATGTATCTGAGAAAACAAATCACAGTAATGAAGCCTTTTCAAGTAATAAAGAAAAAGGAGAGACGAGTGGCAGCAAAACAAAGAGCTGTAGGGGTTGTTTCCCCAGTACATTTTGGTTGCCGCACAATTAAATCAGTTTGTTTTCTTCAGACATGTGTCTCCCGGGGGGCTATGACAGCACTGGCTCCTGTGGTGCACGCTCTTGCGTTATGTGCTGTGGTCATGGCTTCAGAGCCCACCCAGACAGATCAAGGCTCCGCGTGCTCCCAGTTTGCTTTATGCTGACACTTCTGGGAACTCAGGCAGAGCAGCATAAGTTTCTTGCCTTGCATGTTTATGGTGGCCTTGGTTGACAGAGGCATTTTATATTTGAATCAAGTCACTATTTATGTTGTTTGTGTATAATTTGGTGTTCCCTCTGTCTTGGTTCTAATTTCAGGGCGTTGAATACATTCCTGGTGTTGAGAAAGTGGCAGGAGATGCCACAGAAGAAAAAGATGACACAGCAGCAGCAGGGACTCTAAACTCACAGGGTCCTGAACAACTTAGAACAAGGTGCAGGCAATAACCAGCAATGCAAAGGATTCAGAAAAAGCGCAGGCCCTGGGGGTTTAGTTGAAGGCAAGGCCACTGAACAATTCGGAATTATACCATAATTACACTTTCAAAAATCAGCAAAATCGCAGTGTGGTCTTAAAAATTGTAATTGACTGTTCATAATTTGTAACACTGGAGAGATTTCTTCAGGTAAGATGTAATTTTTTTTGCAAGACACGTTCTCCATCTTGTGTTTTGTTTTAAATAAAGCTTTAGTTTGCTAATTGTCCTTTTCTTTTTCTTCTCACCAAGTAATTAAGTAGTAGTTAAGCCTAGTTATTTCCCTGCTCTGAAAGGATTTTATTGGATTGCACGAGACATCCAAAAGGGAATAATTGGAGGGCTTGTAGATACTGAAGTAAGAAGATACTTCTATGGAAACCACATCCTGCATTATGGAAGGGAGATACCGCAACACACATTGGTATCAGAATGACAGCTGTAACCTTCCTTTCAAAGAGAACAATTGATCTTGAATTCCTTTCATTTCAGCTTTTCTAGCAGAAAAATCTGCCTTAAACCCTGTGGTGGACTAGATGGCAGACAAAATCCATTAACGCAGAAAAAGTTTGGTACAGAGAAGAGGAGTGAGCAAGCTACAGGCCTTAAACTGCCTTTAAATTCAGGCACTGTGATCATGCTATGTGTAAGTTCAGGGTGTAGAACTTTGTGTAGATTACATATGGCATGTTTTATTTCCTGTAGGCTCTTTCCTAATGTTTTGCATTTAATTAACTTGGAAGTATGACATATTTCACTAGATTACTCATGTTATGGCTTAGTAAAGAAATCTTGTTCTTTCACCACAAGCTGGATCTGTATTAGATTTTGGGTTTTTAGTGGGGAATTTCTAAAGCTTGAATGTTGTATTAATGGTTACAGGTGAAACTCTTAAGGATCAGATCTTTACTCCAGTGGCAGAGAAGGCTCTGCAAAGAGGTAGGGTCAGTGGTGAACAGCAGTAAGGTCTTGGTGAACCTGAATAGATCCAGCAGCCTGTAATTCTTAAGTGGGTGCCTTGGAACAAGGAGAGGTAGCTATTTCTTTCCAGAAACTAATCCAGCATTTCCAGGGAGACAGGTCTGTAGGCAGGCACTGTAGGTACACTGTAGGGATGTATATTTTTCCCCCTGTATGGTATAATTGCTCATACATAGCCCTGTCACCCTGTTTTTGTTTAAGGTCGTGATTTAACATAGCATTTATTCATGTATCCAAGTAACTCCTCCCCTCTTGAGCTGCTCAGTAAACCATATGCCTGAGACACATCGAAATCAGACCTTTTTAGGCATCTCTTTAAAAAAAAAAAAAAATTGCTATAATTGGAACTTGCAAGTTTTTGCCCAGAGAATTAAAACACTGAATTGTGTGCCAGCCTTAATCATGTTGCTATGGTTCTCTTGTCTCAAAGAGAATGCATTTAGAACTAACTTTATAAGCTGATCATCAGGTTGTTGATTCATCAAGTCACAAAGGGCACGCTATAAAGACTGCTAGAAACTGTGTGTCGTCCTGTGCAGCAGCCTACATTCTTACTTAATGTATGGTTAAATACATACTTTTTTTTTGTTAAATACAATACTTGTGAAGAGTTGCAATACCAGTTGCTCCTAAGAATGATAGAAAGTGATTATATCTCTCCTCATGAAAGCTGATTCTGGAGTTGTAGTAGCCTAGTAAACTAGCCTCATGTCTAGTTTGCATATAACAGCCTATATTATAATTGTCAAGGAAAGGTAAACTGGAGTTGTTCCAGCAAGTGGGAACTATTAAGAAGTTTCATCTGATTTAAGTCTTTCAAGAAAATTTTATCTAAGAAGGCCCCAGGAAACTCTACATGACTTTGAATTAGAATAAAGAAGATGGATAAGGTACTGTGTAGAATGGGCAGACACCTAATTTGATTAAATTCATTCTGTATCTAGGGACACTTTGAGTCGGAGGAAAACCCAGTAATTTTCCAATATCCCCTAACTGAATTTCTGTTTCACCTCTCTGTTATCCAGTGATCCACTGGCTGCATTAACAGCCACTTTACTGCCTGTTCTAACAGAAAAGTTTTTTGTTTCCTCTGTGTAAGAATTGTCTTCCTTGATTATGTTTAGCTTTTTGTTTTCTAAGTAATGCTTTTTCATCAAAAATGCTCATGATGGCAACTGGACATATTATACAAGTAAGCAAAGGTGCATTTGATGAGATGGTGTTGGCAGATGGCTTGGTACTTTCTAATCAAAGAAAGTGATCACATCATCCTTCTAATGCAAACTTGTGACAATTAGGGATGTTCTGCATTCAGTTCATCTGCCCTGCCTGGCAAATGAAACACACTGAGCAGAAACAGTAGAATAAGAGGATACAGACATTTGCCCATTATTTGTATCCAGTAAAGAACCAGAGCCAGGAGTTCTGAGGTCCCACTTATCAGTACTAAACTCCTGGGCTACAGGTTGCAGCAAGACACAGGCTTGCTCCGTATTATTTCAGAAAAGTTGACTTACAGAACAATTAGTATGAATATTGATTTTGGTTTGTTTTTTTGGTTTTGTTTTTTTTTTTTTTTGTTATATTAGTGCTTTAAGGTATCTGATTAATTTAGAAGCTTGGACCTGCAACTCGTTCTTGGCAGTCTGAAGTGCTGCTTAGTGAGATCACAAGAATCCTAAGAGGGTCTGAAGCAGAAACAGATCCAATATCTTCACTCTTAATAGAACATAATAGGAAAAAAACCCCACCAACAGCACAAACATCTTTTTCTCACAGTGTAAGTTCTTTTATTTAAAAGAAATCTTCATTTACTCAAGGGTAGGATGGTTTCAGAGTGCTGGAAAAGTTGGCAAAGGCTTGAAAGAGCATTCCAGTTTTTGGAGTTAAGTTTTCAAAACCTTGGATTTGATCTCTCTCTGAATCTACACTCTGATGCTTGTGGTTTGACACGATGGTATTTCTGCTTCGGAGACAAGGAGGTAAGTGTGTGTGTGTGAGAGAGTTGGCAGACCTGCTGAAAGGAAATTTGTACCTGTTGTTCTTATAAGCATAGACACTTAAGTCTGGCCTACAAATAAGATGTTAGACATCAACATCAGCGTTAGCAGTGATCTGGGTGGGTGTGTGCCAGCTAAATAAAGTATTTGAATCGCTCTCAAGAAAAGTAAACATATGGATTTTAAGGCTAGAAATTTCATTACATTAATCTGTCATGATGTTTCACATAATGTAAGCCAGACAATTTCATGCATGGTTGCTGTATCAAAAATCATTGGTTTTGGTTGAAACAACCCATTTTTTAGAAAGATTGTTTTGATTTGACAGTTTTGATTTTCAGATGTTGGGCAGCGGGAAATCTGCCACATTTGTTGGCAGATTGTTCTAAAGTTTTGTATTTACAAGTGCAGCTGATCTTTTTAGTCTGAATGCATTTTGGTTTAGTCTCCTATGATGGATTTTCCTTTTCTGTTTAATGCTGAGCTACGGCTCTGGTACTATCAAGATTCTTCCAATGTGGGGATGGATACCTTGTGATCCATCACGATATCAGTGAACAGCACTGTTTTTTGGATCTGTCTCTGTGAGACAGATTTTCCTGACCTTGATTCATTCTTCTTGTCCTTTCAGAGAGATTTTCAATTTTTCAAATTCCTCTTAGAAGCCTGAACATCATCAGAGACCCAGTTCCAGTTACAATCACACTGGCTGTTACGGGTTAGCATTTCCTGGCTGCTGTGACCTGTGGTTGTAAATCATCATGGGATTCTTTTGTGCTTGTGGGTGTCTTAATGGTGAACATGCACTGTAAAACTTAAATGACACGGAGGAATTAAGAGGTATCTGTTTTAATATGTTTTCTTTAGTGGCCACAATGGCTGCAGTGTACTACTGAAAATGTAGTTGATCCAGCGTCATCTTTATTATTACCACGAGATGGCACCATTACATAGCTTAACATTGTCGTCATCTCTTGGGTGCTTGAGACGGTGCCCAAGATTTAAATACATCACTGGTTGGCTTGACTTCTTCAGAGGAAGGTTACCGTTCAGAGAAAGGAGGATGAGGGTGTGGCAAAGCTTGTGGTGCAGTCTCATTGTATCTGTGGAGTTTATTTTGAGTGGGCCTGGGATTGAGGTTTTCAAATATTTGTGAAGCCAAGATGAAATCATAGAGTAGCGTGAAATGCAGACTGCACCCAGATTGCGTCCCTTCGTGCTCTTGTCTCATCAGGAAGCCTGGATGGGACTTTTCCCGGTTGTATTTCATGGGTTCCCAGCACTAGTTCTCTGCTCAAATAACTTGAACATCTAATTTTCTGTTTCTGACCCTTCTCTTGTCTGCTACATACTTTGCTCCAGCATACTACTGAGCGCTTTTCTTTTTTTCATGTAATAGCAGCTGCCATATAATATGCTGCTAATATTCTCAGCATTAGAAAAGCAAGGATGGTCTAAAGGCTAAGTTTCTTCCTTTGCTACTATGTCTTATACGTGACCATTCCAAAGGAGAGAAGAGCAGATTAAGTAAGCAGATGATTTAATTTAATTTTTATTTTTTGATTTTTTTAAATGTTTAATGTTTATTTTAATTGATATAGTAAAACTTCAGTGCAAACATGAAGTTGTACATTAAAGGCAGTTCTCCATCCTAATCAAAGATCGAAGTGCAAACATTTCAAAGTATTCGCTGTTCTTTCACTTGTTCTTTGTAAGCCCAATGCTAACTCTATTTTTGGGGTGATTTCCCAGTCCTCCAGGCCTGCAATATCACACTCCACGATTAGTGTGCTAAATGGTAGGAGCTCTGTGCAACTCTTAGTTTATCGCATCAGTAACTTGGGCTAATATCCTTTCCTCCCATCTCTATGATGACATTAATGTATTATGGGATCTGTTCGGACACTCATGGACTGCTCTTGAAGGATCTGCTAGAAGTCACCTTACAGAAACTTCTGATGCCTTCTTTCTGCTATGTTTTTTTGTGTAAAATTTTTAGAGGTTTAGAAATACAAATTAAACACTTCTAAATAACTACTTTTCACTTGTATTACTTGATTATGAGAAGTGGGACATCC